TCTGAGACAAAGAGGTCCCTTAGAGCATTCACCTTTGACAAGCAACAGCCACCTTTGGCGGGGTGGGGGAGAAGATACCAGTCTTGCAGACTGATTATACCATCTTGGAAAAAAACTTGTATCAGACACAAATAAAAATAAAGAACTATAATACTTACTGATGAATAGAAAGCTCATTCTATCCTAAACTCTAAGTCCACTAACCAGAACTAAAAACAGCACTCCACGCACAGCAGTAGATGTGGGAAAGACTCCATGTTCTGGTATTGGCAACAGTAAAGAAGCAGACCCACCATACTCTTTCTCCTTACATATTGTCTATGGTGGAGCTACAACCATATCAAATGTTTTTAACCTACTTTTGCACAGAACAGCAGGATAATTTGTGGGGAATCCCAGAAGACTACTCCCCTTTCTCCAATACGTTTCTCTTAAGCACAATCTCCCCATACCCTTGAATTCCTTCTGGATGCCCATCACCTAACAAGACTGGCCTCCCCACAGACTGCAGTCATACAGTTCTTCCCCTCCTCCCAGGCTCCCTGTGCAAGGCTCTATCTTAAAATTATTCTATTTAAATACTCAGCAAGTTTGTTTAAGACTTATGTGTTTGTAAATAAAGAGATTTCCAGCTCACAGTGGATATTAAACTAAAAGGAAAACATGAAGAGATTTTGAAACTGCTAATAAGGTAGCATTCGTCTGCTGCCTTTCATCCTTCATTTCACAAGATCCCAGAGCACTTTACAGATGTAAATACAGAGCTGCTCTCCCAGCAGCGAGACGCAGACAGTCCTGGGGTGGAATATGGCAGCTCTAGGACACGACTGCATCATTACAACTCCTCATCATGCTGGGCTCTCACTTTTGCTCTGCCACCCTGTGGCTGCTCAACTGCAGAACTCCAACGAGCAAGTAAAGTGCCTACTGCCCAGAAAGAGAGGTCTCATATGTGCCAAGAACTCCACCAGTGTAGATGGCTCATTCTTCCATAGTCAGGTACTTGCAATAAATTAACACAATTAGCAGGATTTGAGGAAAAGAGCTATTTTCAACTGAGCCAGAAATGCCCGGAAAGGACACTGGTATTTCAGGGTCTGTTCAACAGATCAGACTTAACGGCTCTGCCCCAGTCATTAAATGCACTGTAGTTTTTAATGGAATCTGTTCTTTGAGAGATGGGCTACAAGCTAGATTTAAAATCTTCATTATCAATGCCAGCATATACTCGATTTTTAGGAGCAGAAATTTATTTTGATTTCAAGTAAAGGATGCCACCTACTGAATCCTTGCTACCATAATTGCGTGATTTGACCCTCATGGCTCAAGACCTCTGGCAGGATCACAAGCCAGACTGCAGTCCCAAAATAAATTCCAAGGAAAAGCAGAAAACACGCTTGTAAAAACAAAGCTTTTCTTCGCTGCTACTCTCTTCACAACCCAAAGATGTATTACTCACCGAACATCTGCACAGCCATAATAATTTCTAGTTTTGCAACACTGACAACCTTAGCAGTATTAAAAAACCACTTTCTTACATCTTTATTCCATTTTGGATTCATTATAATACAGCCTGACAATATATGCTAGTACAGTACATTCTGCAACATTTAACCCCTGTTCCCAGTTGCTGTTCTTAACTTCATGGCTTAATGACACAGAGTCAGTAGATCACAATATGACCCTGCTAATATTTTTTTAATGCCATTTTTACAAATTACAGCATAATGCACTGATTATGAGGATGAAAGCAAAGTCTCTACGTCTGTCTGGGAACCAAATAAAAGAATGTTTGAACATCTGTTCATCCTGCAAATGTCTTTAAAAGCTTTGATTTTCCCATAATCATTTTGTTCCACCATTTCACCCTTTTTCGAATGTGTATCCAACAGCCTCAGGACAGCAGCCAGAGATCTGCAGTAATAGCACATTATAATCAAAGTTCTTGGGCACACTTTAGTTCTCCTTCTGGAATTAAAAATGAGGAAAAACACAAAACGAAACTCCAGTCTTCAGCTGTCTGTCCTACACAAACCTCTGCTAGGGGAGCAAAATGAAAAGACAGGGCTTTGCAACAGGGGCTTTACGTAGAGTATTACACAGCACAAGGACAGGATACGGTGGCATGTGACAGGACTCACACGAGGCACAGCATGCATGCCTCCTTGCACAGCCTGCTCCTGCTGGGTCAGCGGCAGCTGTCCACGAGATCCTGCCCAAGTCACAGCCCAAGTGCCTGAACATAGGCAGTTACTCACCGCACACAGGAGCCGGTGTAAGCTGCAGTGCAAGAGCGTTCCCCATCATGCTGGGCTCCCAACCGCTGCCGTGGGAGCCCTGCCAGCACCCAGATTTACATCTTCTTCTCCAGAGGCAAGAGCAGAGCCAGAACAAGGAAAAGCAATGAGCAAAGATGGGAAACAGAAGCACTGAGGAGAAGGTTATATCTTGGACTGAGAGGATGGAAGAAAGATGTTGAGTTAGTATGCTAGTCTGGAAATGAGACAGAAGATGGGGGAAATATTTTTAAAAGTATATTACAGGAGACTGGATGAGAAAGGGATGGAGGTCCAACCCTGGAAGCTGTTGCTGCTCCCTCCCTTGGAGGACCCCAGGCAAATAAACCATGGGACCCTCAACACTAGAAGACCTTCAGCCAAGCCAAGGGCTGCAAAACTAAGTATTCAGGACTAATGAGTTTTCAAATGGATCAAATTCCATAACAACTGACTCATTGCTCCTGCTATGGGCAATCCATAGCATAGAGAGGAAAACATTAATCAGATAGTGCTTTGTAAAAATACATATCACTGTTTACATTGACAGTCTCCTCTCCAGAACTATTAAAAAACTCCTTAGAAATAAGAAAGACAAAGACCTGTAAGTGCAAGGCTAGCAACTCTGGAGCAGCCAACAATATCCTACAGCAGGACACCTCTCCTGACGATTGCCCTTTTCTTTCCAAAACTCCAAGTAGAGTTGGCAGAATTCAGTGACCCGTTTAAAATTTGGCAAGGATATTAGAACTATACAGATAAAAATGTAAGTTCCTTAATAATTCACTTTTGATTTTTTTTTTAATGAGACTGTTTTTTACACCAATAATTCTTAGACTAACCTGGGACAGTAATAACAGCATTCCTTCTGTGTCATCTGTTTCTCTAGCTTCCACCAGTGCAGGGTACAAAATAGGATTTGATAAAGGCTTAAAAGAAAGATAACATAATAAATATTCTTTCCAAAGACTGCCTTTGGGAGTGTCTGGGAAGAGGAGAGAAATGGGAAAGGAGAGGTGACAGTGGTGTGAATTGCATTTTTTCATTATAGAAGGATACATTTTCCAGCAAGGCTGGCAGCACAAGTCACATTAAGCCATAGCTGAAGTTGCCTGCCTAATTCCTCTGGGATCACACTGAAAGCATACCCCATAATCTTAAGGGATGTGCTAAAGCTTTCCTGGGACTCACTCAGCAGAAACTGTTTGGGATTATTCCACAAAACACTAATTCTGTTCTGATTTAAAGGGGTACCATCAACCTAGTTTAGACACCAGATTTGCCCTGTCTCACGACTGTCCAGTTGTGAATATCCTCTCAATAGCGGATATTTTTGCAATTTGTATCCAATTTGGTTACCTAGAAATTAAAAGGAAAAGAAAAAGACTGAAAAAAAACCAGGATCATGTTAGCATGATGGACTCTCACTCATCAATGGATATTTGATGAATAACACTGAGTGCTATCAATAATATAATTATAATAATATGATTAATAAGAATGAGTGCAGCAATCTATCACAGTTATTCACTTCCATGTGCAACTAATGCACTTACATTATACATGTGGTCATCTTCTATGGCTGGCTTCAGCAAATAAGTCACAGGCTGCTATTTAACACCAACGAGCAGAAGAACTCTTTTTGTTCAGAAGACGGGAACTAACATTTTTCCATGCTGCCATGCCTGAGTCCAATTTTCCGTTCCAGACTGCAGCTTTTGTACCTGTAGAATTATTGTTAGTTTTCATGTTAAGGTGTCCCATGCTTTGTAAATAACAAAAGGCAGCATGTTACCAGTGCTCTCCTTTTTATGAGCCTAGGACATGAAATTGAGAGGAAGAACTAAAGCAGCCATGAAATCCCTATTAAACAACTAATGGTTTCTAAAGCATCTTGGAGATACTCATTTTACAAGGCTTATGCTGCAATCTTCTATCATAATTTTAATGAAATAAAGCCCTTGACTATTTCCATAGACAACTTTTTCTTTCACACAGAAAGGAAAAAAAAACCCACCACAATTCTGGAGTAAGATTCACTGTAGAACAGGCAGGAAATTCAGGAAAGCTATATAAAATGTCACTGAACATAGGTTCTGAACGTTTGGAACAGCAAACAGAACAATTAAGACTCTCAGTTACACACATCATTGTGTTTAATAGGAAAAACATTTCTAGATATAAATCATATTTATAAAAAACATCCATACCATCTCTCAGATAGCATCTTACATAGTTGCAGCTGAAGGAATGTGAAACATCCATTTTAGGTTTCACCTATTATATTGTGTGCTTTCTGTCCCCCACTTTGCTCGGGGAAGTAAACCTAGACTAATCAGCTTCACTTTGTGGGTCACATGTAATTCACATCTTGACTAGATTTAGATTAATATTGGTGGCAAACTTTTAAATCAAGAGAAACCTCAAAATAATTCTCCAGAAGAACACTGCTATTAGAACGCACACCCGAATGCTCTCATCTGGCAGGTGACATTCTCTGAGAGGCCATAAAGATTCAGATGGCAAAGATGACAAAACAAGCAGATTCTAACAGAACAAAACCAGATTGCAGAGATTTTGGAAGGGGGCATATAGTCAGCAGGAGCTTCCAGGCTGTTTGTCAGGAAGGAACAGGTCTAATTCGTTCAGATGAGAAACACATTCCACCTCAATTCATTTCTGAGTCTGGTCTTTCAGGTGTGATCAGAGGCCTCTCTTGCTTTCTCAGGATTGAATCATTTTCTTCTGCGTGTCAAAGACGTATCTTTTAAAGACAAGAGAGACGGTAACAGGTTGGGCCAATTCATTCTTGCTGCTTTCATCCTCTTTGGTTGTATCCCCCTTCCCTGCCTTAGATTTCTTCTTGGAGGCAACAGTAAGAAGCATCTTGGTATCTGGCTTCAGCCCATCTGTAAAAAACAAGAGCAGACATGACAGACACACTTAACATCACATTTCAGTATAACTGGAAAAAATGAACAGGCAGGTTTACTTCTGAAATCAACCAAAGAAAATAAGAAAATAAATCAGATGCATTAGGAAAGTCACATTTCTGCATCACGCTTCCGGAATGTGGTAACTCACATGAAAAATAAGAGAAGCCTTCAAACATAGTTCACAAAGTGATACCCCAAATCCAGTGAAGTATGCTGGTTGTATCCTTCTATAGCTTTTAAACTATTAAATACAGGCAAAAATTTAAACAAGCCAGACCAATCTGCCTGGTCTAAGCCTTTTACTCAGCAGACCTTTCCTATTATTTACACACATTTCCAAAAGTTTCTTCTCATCACTATTTATAAAAATGTAAGTCATGAATGAAAAACAACAACTGGCAAAATACTAAAATTCTATAGTCCTAAGAGTCAGAAGGTTCTTGAATTTCTTCAGTCTCTTTCCCAGAAGTACACTACTTAGTTTTTAACAAATTACATGGGTTTGTGTGTGTTTGGGTTTTTTTGGCTAAAACACAGTATTTGTTAAGGGTTTAAACTGTCACTGTTTAGGGGAATTAGAATTAACGTGTGTAGGAATCTGGGGATCTAACTTAAGCCTTTCTCCAGACATTTGTGCCAAAGAAAAATATTTGTCCTTTTCTTCCTAAATGGTTAGGGTTTATTACACTTTTATATTTTCTTTTAACTTGACATATTGGTGATGTTTCAGATAAGAAATGCAAGATAGCAAAGTCCAAAGAACTGCTGTAGAACAAGAGAGATGCGGCTCCTAAAAGACCACTCCTGAAGCATTACTTTCTTAAAGCAGAAGACAGTAAACTCCTTGGAAGCTTATTCAGCACCAAACAAAAAGACTGTAATGTGGTTCTCAGGCATTTGGCCAAATTCAGTTCAGGTATTTTTAACCTGTGGTGTCACATAACCTTATCTCAAACACTTAATCAGCTTCTCTTCCCTCATATTGAAATTCAGATGCGGATTCTCATATCACAGCCTGACAAAAAGATTGAGATGCTTATGATTTACTGGAGACAGGAGGTCTACAAGCACAGGTGATTTGCTCCAGCACAGACGCATCTAGAGGCACGCACAGCTGATTGCAGGGGGACCCGGCACCAGAGCCCACCTTCTCATCTTGCTGTGTCAGGGAGCAAATTGTTCCAGGCAACATCCCCACCGCCCGGCAAAGGGAAGGGAGGAAACGAGGAAGTGTTGAAGCAAAACCAGGAAACTGCTCATTTACCGTTTCATAACCAGAGGTTGCAAAACAGCCCTAACGCCCTGCAGCGCAGCCATGGGGAGACTTTTGGAGACAGAGGGATCTTGCTTTTTTGAAAAAAATGCAAGAGCACAAAAGAGGAGACAAGCCATATGTTTTGTATATAGCTAAATAAATTACAGTCCATACTAAGGCTGCAGAAGTCCAGCATCAAGCAGAATCAACTTTGTATACTTCTGCAAGGTCTTGTATTTCACAGTGAAGGCAGCAGCCATTTTCTCTTTTCAGATGGCAGAATACAAAAAAAACAATGATTATTTCATTGTGAAAATAATTAAGACTGTTTTTCCTTGATGGTTGAGAAGTTTGATAACTACTATCTTTGCACCTGTAAGGTTCGATTAATCAAACTAGATAACACGGTGTGGCCAGACCACATATTTACTATATGGTTTTATTACATTGTGCGGTCATGTTTGATGCAGCTGTTTCCATTTTTTAATTGGATGCTTTCATATAAATTCCATTAATATCATTAGCCTTACAGTCACTCCATCTCCATTATGAAAAATAATTCATTATTACATGAAAAGCAACTTATTTCCTATTTGGAAAGCTCCGAGAACATCTTGGGTGCTGCTAAAAAAAAATAGCAACAGCCAAAAAAGAGGAAAAGAAAATAAAACCAGCAAAAAGAATGACCTCACACAGTCCCGCTCTCTAGTTCTGCAGGTTATATTTCATATTATATGTTTGCTACTGTTTTGACCAACCTAATCATAAGTGCCCCTGAATAGGGTTTCCTTCACTTTCCTGAGAAGAGCATTTATTTTTTGGACACAGAAACATTTCATTTTGCTTTGTAGTTGGTTTCCCTTTCTGGGTCTTATCACTATTACTAACATGGCTGTTGCTGGCACATTACTGTTTAAGAAAGATGTTTAACTAAACCCTTTCAAGAAGACACATTTTACATTAATTGAAGCAAACAAATCTTAAAACACTTCCATTTATGTTAGTAGGCTTTGAGAGACTCTAATTTCTAAAAAATGCTAATTGGCGGAAAGGAAAGAGGAAGTGAGGAGATGTGGCACTAAAATTGCAGCCAGAATTTTCCCTTGTGGGTATCTGAAGTGAGGCACTTACAGCCCCTTGTCTGCAGCCCGCAGGGCGGCGATGCCTCCCGGGGCAGTCAGCCTCTCACCCCACAGCAGCAAGTGAGGGAAACTGCCAGCCATGAGGATGAAATAATCACTTTGGGATACACTGAGCTTCAAAAACTGCCAGTGACATCAGTGAGCACTCGGATGGATGGCCCAACACATTCGAAACCTGGTACACCATCCTAGGTGTTTAAACAGAGTATCTCATGTTTGAAAAAATTCATTTTCAAGAAAAAAGGATACACTGCACATGGAACTGAACTGGGGAAGATGTATTTGAAACTGAGCAATCTCACCTCCTCCACGCTATCACTAACTTCCACATATAGAGAATTAAAGATATACCTCACCTGCAGCCCTTAGCACCTATTTGGACTCAAATAAGGTATTACAGGTAAGAAGTTTACAGAAGAAATGGAAGCACATGGTAGCTCCTACCAGCGAAATGACAGGCTGACAGCCAAAGGCAGCTCAGGTGTTACTATAGTCACAAGGTATCTAAATTACCTAATCAGATCCCATGGCCCTCATTCTGCAAACAGATTAGGTGGCTGGCATCATACCCTAACAAACGGTATTTTCTGTTTTTCTGCTCTGGTGCCAGGAGGTCTAAGGGCTGAAGAGGCTCTGTGATAGGGAGCGGCACAAAGGGGCAGGCAGGGAGAGACAGGCGGGGAGGCACAATCGGGGTTTCATCTACCTCCACGGATTTCTCGCGTTACACACAATGCATACTTTACATTTTACAAAACCAAGGAAATGAAGGGAAATATATCTGTCACCGAAGAAGACATCAGACCTTTAATAGCTGAAATGACGGATATTTTTAGATGGAGGTCTAGTTTAACTTACTTATATTAAGGGTCTAATCTCTCCTGAACAATAGCTATGTTAGCTTGAATACATAGTGAGAAATCTGTTCCATTAATTAAGTGCTGCCTGTACCACTCGGATTTGTAGCAAACGTTAATAGATTTTTTTTTCTTCCTCTGTTGGACAATTACTTTATTTTGCCTCGTTGCTAATGGATTAAATTGAAAAGGTCCATGTGTTAAAGACTTCAGCTTCAAAGTTCTAAGAAATGCCTTGCATGCAACAGTGGAAAATACCTATATATTAATATTATTAATGGGCAGTCCTCAGAGGCACATAAGATACCTGAAAGCTTAGCAAATACATCCCCGCCCATCATAACCATGTCTGTAACAAGAAGTGTCCAGACAGGTCTTATGCAAAATGTACTTGTAGCATCAACTAACCCAGCTTAGATACGAAACTCTAGTTGTAAAATAGTTTAATCCACTTCATTCTTTTAGTTTCAACTACTGTTAAGAATTAACAAATAAGAATACAGAACATAATATTCTTTGTCTCAGCATGGCCTCAAGGATTGAATCCAAACTGAGCCATTTATAAATGCAAAAAAGTGAACTTTCAAATTCATATGAAAAAGCGATACCTCATCAGGAAAAATATTTTCCAAGTCTAAAAACAGTTTCACATGCACAAAATAAAGGATAAGTGCAATATTTTGCACAATTTTCACAAATAAAAGCTAGCTTCTTAGTGATTTGCAGTATCTTACATAGTTAAATGCATTGCAGTCTTGAGTTTTACAATTAGTCCTGCAAGAAATTTGCATAGAAACACGGATTTCAATAACTTCATATGGAAATCTCAACATGTAGAATTTTGGACCTCTTCTTGTGTATAAATATCAGAAATAAATCTTGTCCAGCCCAACACCCATCCCCCACCCCATCCTCCCAAAGATACTCATATCTACACAAGTCTTAAGGTTTCTCTACTGCTTCATTTTCTGTACATTAAATCGTGCCTCCCTGTAACACGGACTCAGCAAAGCCCAGTGATGAACATCCCACTGCTGACCTGGGGGTCATTGCATCAGGCCCGGGGGACAGTCTCCAGGCCAGACTGCTGGGGAGTGCACGCCAGGACACAAATCACAACAAACACGTAAAGCACATAAATGTCCATAACCAGCACGGTTTATTTTTGCTTTGTTTTTACTACTACTACTTCAGCTGGAAGGAGGACGAAAGCTGATAGAATATGTCCTCTTAATTCCTTTTGCTAATCCGACAGCAGGGTGAAGGAACGCTGCTGAGCTTTTTCCCCATATACATTTTTATTTCAGCTGTTACCTGTAAGCTTGGATCCTACTTCACCTTTTGCATAACCTCGCCACTTCACATCCTTCACTTAATATTGTCACTCCTTATCAATATCCTCTGTCATCTTTGTTGTCTGTTTTTATTATTATCCTTGAAAAGGTATCCAAGGGTGGTCTTTGTTCATTCTCCTGAAGTCCAGCTCCTTCCTTCACTCCCAATTCCACTCGCTATTCTGCCCTTCAGGAGTTTTATCTCTCTCTTTCCTTTCCCAACTTTATTTTTGAGTTTTCTGATCTCCATATATCTATTTCCACAGATCTCTTCAATATTTAGGAATAGTCCTACCTCCTTCAAAGCTAATGAAACATTGTGCTTGAATGGAAGATTTTAAAGACTGAATGCTAGACACATTGTAGATGAGAATCAAGATAACAC